ACAATGAAGATTAAAGAGATTTACAGTTGACTTGAGAGAGGTCGAACCTCCAGTTCCTTGTAAGTGTTTTTTGATCCTATAGAAATTCAATAATCAACTGGAGCTTGAGCTCTCTTATCATGTTTCCGGTTGCCATACAGCCAAATCTGTTAAAATAGTGGGTATGCAAAAACCCAGGCCCCATGGCAGGCCGCTCTCTTTATTTAGTGGGGAGCATTAGGTAACAAGGGGTGGGATACATGCTTTACACCAGTGTTCACTCCAGGTATACCGGCCCGTGAACCCACGCCGCTACTAAGGTAGCCATGCTTTGCATGCTTGACGACTGAGCCTGGTGTCCGCCAAGTGAACCGACCGATGCAGCTAAAGTATTTTTCCGGTGGACGTCTGTTTTCAGGCGTCGACCACCCCGTCGTTTGAGCTAAAAAAGTTGCTTGTGTAGGCCTACCACGGAAAGCAGGCTTGTGAATGCAGATTTCCGCGAGAATTTGGGTTTCACTGAGTACAACAATGCCGGCCAAAGGCATCGGCTGTTTCATCCAATTGGCTTCTTAGGAAACCTCATCAGGGAGCCTCTGCAAATATTTAAACAAATACAATACGTATTATTAATTATCCCTCAGCGAAGATCTGTTCAGGCTGTGGCCTCTAGATGGTACATCGAGTCTTGCACTCCAGCAATTGCACACGCTTTGTTCTATCTCAACATATTATCTGAGGGTTTCCAAGAACAAGGGGCCCCTTCTTGGGGGCCCCAACATAAGGTTCGTAGTATAGGGGGTCTATATTGGGATCCCCCTGCGTGGAAACTACCATTGCAGTCTTCGCGGTTTTGAAGAGGTTTCCTAGGAGTCCTGTAGTCAGATTCATCAAATGCACGGTGTTCGATCTCCACCCCTGAAACCCAAACCCTGAGCAAGATTTGAGGGGGTTTCATGCGGAATTTTTCCCGCAGTGATATGAGTGGGTGAAAGTCACAGATAACGAAGAAAAAGAGACGACTCACAAAGAGCCTCAGACCCTAAACCCTGGTCCTTATCATGATCTTGATCTTACTGTTTGGGGGATTTGCTCCGGGATTGCTAGAGTATGGGAAGTGAGCAAGCCCGTTCTTCCGGTGGTTCGATCATGAGAAGTAGCAGCAGCAGGATCACAAGTGTTAGAAGCAGAGCCCGAAGTAGAAGTAGAAGTATGAGTGGTGCCGGGTATCAGTATATACTAGTGCTCATACTCGTACCCCACTACTGCTACTGCTACCGCTGCCGCGACTGCTACTGCTACAACTACAACGGCTACAACAACAAATGTTACTATAAATACCACCGCTAGCAGATACCATAGGACACTTTCGGCAACTCCTATAGTCGCTGCGCGACCACCGTGGCATTGCAGCCAAACGGTTCAGCTGTCACGTGGTCAGAGTCAGAAGGAGCGGCCCCGGAAGATATGTCAAAAACTGGGTTGCTGTTAAGGAACTTAAGTTAAGTTACCATATTGAGGAAACCCTATTATTTACTTTATATACCCATTATGGTAACTCAATTTAAGTTCCTTTATAGCAACCCAGAAGACCATGGCCTGTTGCTGCGAGTGAGGGTTGTCATTCACGATCATTGCCAATCTGATGGGTTCAGTCTCACAGTTTCACTAGTCGTTGTCATATGCCTGTGTCTCCCTGTTTTTGTGGATATCAAATCTGATTTCGACTTGAATTCTCTGCCCAGCAGCTCCGGAAAGCTCAAGTCCGTACGACACACACAGCTATCCTAATCTGATTTGGGAGTTTCTCATAAACCGCTACGGTCTCTAAGAGCCCCGTGTTTAACCAAATCTTCAAACGTAGTATCACACCAGCTACCACGGAATTGTTGGTACAGGACTCACAGGACCACATGGTTGCTGCAGAATGGGGCTTAATAGTAATTGTAGTAATAATGATAGTAATGATAGTAAGACTAGCAATCATAGTTATAGTACTGACAATAATAGTAGCATTTAGGGCAAACCTACAAAAAACACTCCGCGCGGAAGCCGCCCATTCCCCTCTCACACAAACCCACCCTCATCCACCGCATGAATCACGAAAGCCTGCAAGAGCCAACATACAAGCCCTTCAAGTGATCCGATGTCTCATGAAGATGCCATTCCAATCGGCGAAGGCACGAGACCCTGGAGTCAGATTTTGGGTTCCGTCGGGTATTATTCTGAGGTGATGAAAAATGGAGGTGGCTCTGATTTGCCTCATTGGACGAACTTACTGGTTGAACGTATATAATAAGCAATGGATATCTACAGTAGCCCCTGTATACTCCTCCCAGTATATATCACAATGTCCATTTTCTTTTCACTTGTGTCACTCCCTGCTAACTACCAGCAAGCAAACACCCAGTTTTTGCTTGCTCCAAGAAATACTGCGACAGCTTCATACGGTAGTTCCCCAAAAGAAGGGGACCCCAATATAGGCCCCAAAATACTATAGTCCTTATTATTGGGACCCCCAAAATGGTACCCCTAATTTGGGGAAACCCTAAACTCTAGTCCCTAAACCCTATATATCCTCTATAGAGCCCTATATAACCCCTATAAACCCCTTAAAGGGTACCCCTAATTTTGGGAAACCCCCATACATGGCCCAGGTTGGACACGGCATAGTGCAGACATGCTGCTGCACCCTCCATCGCAGGTGGCCCATGCTCCTCTAGACGAAAAGTATAGGAGCGATGTGGGAAGCATTACAGTAGCATTTCTGGTAAATGGGTAGATGTAGAGGGAGTGCATGGGTTTGCCACCTAGATTCTGGCGTTGAGACTCTCTCGCATCTGGGTTCAGGCTTGCAAAGGCACTTGGGGCTATAGGGATGCACAGCTGCTTTGTCTTGTTGGCAGTTTCCGATCTCGTTTAACGTTAAAGGTTCTGGGTTGCTGAGCATGTCCTGGAAGAGTACCAGTTCCTGGAGGACAAGACTTGAAACATGATGAGCTGAGGTAGACGGATTCAGATACTCCGAGAGGCTCACCATGGACACCCTAGTCCTTGTTAATCCCGGAAATGAGCAATGCACATGAGAAACGAGGGCAGAGAGCGAATCTTCAACCCTGAAAATCCCCCATCTCTGCCGTGCCGTGAATCCCGAATCCCCCCAAACCTTCAAATCCCGATGCTCCATCCTTAAGCCCAGCAGCTTTGACAGAAACCCTACGCACCTCAAAGTGCAGCAGGTGTACTTCGCGCAGCGCGGCGCGCAGAGAGGAAAGCTAACTTCCCAGATTGCTGCCCCAGTTGTATCCACTAGACGCACAGGGTCGCCTCAAGTTGCAGTTCTCTGGCTTGTATGACTTACAGTAAGAATCTGATTGGTTGGTTGAAATCAGGTGAACTGCTTTGGAAGCTGTCAAGCACAGCAACAAGTACTTTACCGAGAAGTTGCGTGCTTCTAGCGTCTGAGGAGTTCTGCAAGAATGCACATGCAATTTGGCCATACACATGCAACATCTTCAAAGCTATGAAGCGTTTTCAAGCACCATGTGTGTCTAAGTGACCCTCAGCTTTGACAACTGAAGTGCACCAGGCTTCAAACAGGTTCGCAACGGTCGGCAATGTCACGATTTCTCCAGGGCTACAGAATTCAAAAAATGCTGGCAGCGCGTATCCCACCTGCTTGCCAAGATACCTGCTGAAGTCCGAAGATGGTTGGACTGTCGTAGCCCTAGATTCCAACTTCAGTCCAAGTGGGTACATACTTCTCAAGTAGTTAGAGGTCTCCTTTACATACCGCAAATAATAGGATCCTTATCCTAGGGACAGTCGAAGGGGCTCATCAATTTGAGGACGCGCCCGAAGTAGCTAGTCGCCAAGATGACAAACACGAGGTGCATTCGTACAAGACATTCGGCCGGCCGTTTCTGGCTATCAGGGTCGCCTGCAATTTGCCATGAGGACTCCGCAGAACCCTGTTTGTTTGGGGAACTTGGGGGTGCTTGAGTGTATGTGGCCGTTGGCATCTGATTCATACCCTCCTTCGCCGTGCTATCCTCATGAAGGGCTTGTATGTGTTTTACGCAGTGAGCTCGTTACGTGCATTGGTGGGCCTATGAGGTTCTTGATAGAATGTTTTGGTTTATCCTGCCAAGCGAGGTATGTCCAGCACCTCATGTTGGCGCTGACTGCCCTGTGGAGGCCGCAAATGTTCGTGCACTACTTCCCGGAATCCCTACCCGTGGGGCTACTACTGTAATACTACATGGGCTTGTGATTCCGATGTTTGTGGTACTGCGCTGTGGGGATAGCAGACAGACTCATGAGAACATCATCCACTTGTCAACAGTCCCTTTGCTCAATACATTCAATACACATGGGTTGTGCTCAAAATTATGGACACCTGTTGGCTATAGATTATATTACGGTACCTAACATTCAGGGGTACCAAAATGGGACCCTAATTTTGGGAACTGCCCACATGGTGATGTGTTCCCATGCCAGGTGCGAGCTGCTGCAGCATCAGTCCTCCGACCCAATTCTGAAGGCACACGGTACCTTTAATATATTGGGGTAATATTGGGGTTATATGGGGGTTATATAGAGATAATGGAAAAGTGAATGGAAACTACTATAATGCGCTTAGGGTTTAGGGTTGATAATGGAANNTATTGGGGCAATATTGGGGTTATATGTGGTTGTGTGACTTGGGCAGGCCAACTGCTTCAAAGTTGCGTTTCACTTGTCCGTGGTGGCCAGACTTTCTAATTCCGTGTCCGGTGCTTTTAAAGACATTTCTGATGTGAGAGGTAGCCTAGCGCGATTCCGCAAGTAGCGCAGACTTTTTCTGCTTGTCTCGGGCCTCATGCTGTACTTCAGTTCTTTTTGCTTTGACAATTCACATGTTGTTGCAAACCCTCATCATCATAAGCCGCTCTACCCATGGAATAGCCCTAAGATCTGCAGACTCCCAGGACATCTTCGCACTCTACGATGCATAGCTTCTCTTCTATGGTTTAGGGTTTAGGG